GGTACACTAAGTCTCAGTAAGCAGGTATGGTAGTCTAGTGTTTTCGCACACATCAATGTGATATTCAATAAGTGACAGAGTTGCTTTGCTATCTATCTTAATTAATGGAATAATATTAGCGGAAATTCTTGCCAGAGTACTCGTAGCAGACACCTTTCTGTTGCGTCAGAATAAGGAGACTGCGTAATGGCTGAATACCTTTTTTTAGCGAATCTAAGTTAAACCAGTTAACTGTTGGGCCAAATATACCTTTTAGTTGATTGTTACAACAAAACAAGATCGGGTTCGGCAAGCCTTGTTGTCAAGGGAGAAATAAGGCAGTGAGTAAAGATTGATACAATAAACTAGCTGACCTATGTTACTTTGAGCATTGAACATATAGACCAGAAACCGGTGCATTTGTCGCAGGTTTTTCTATTATTGTATTTAGTGTCAATCAATCGATTGGCAAGAAGATTGATCTCAGTCTTCAGAATGCTGGGCTTCATGTGAAATGACGTTGACGTCCTTATTCCCTTGAACGTATATCGATTCGCACTCAAAACAATTAGAAAAATTTAAAAAAATCATTCGAGCATATCACTGCATACAAGCCATGATCTTAGTTTGCTTTGTTTGAAAAGTTCGACCAGTTATCATGAAAAATTCTATTAAGTAGACGAAAAGAATTTCAATTCTCGTGAAATTGCATTTGGAAATCACTATAAATATCTGGTCATCTAAAGGCTATATATAATATGATGGTTTGCAGAAATGACCTTTTTTGATGTGGTCTCAGCCAGATAACGAAGGTTTTTACGGTGGTACTACTGTTGTGTATGGATGATGATGTTCACGTTTACCAGTACCCAGTTGTACATTGCGCTGCAGTTACGGCAAAAGTTTTACAACCGACATTGCTTGCGGACGCGATTTTACCGAATTACACACAACGTAGTCATTATTTAGATTGCTATTGGGGTGTATATTTAATTCTAGTCAGAACGTCGAAAGATCAGAATGTGAACGTGTCCTCGTTCTGCAATGCCCACAACTACCCACAAACGCTACATTCGGCACGAATACCGTAAACGCCGAAACTTGAAAAGTACTCCAGCTGTTTCAAATTGTTACCTGGTCGATCCCCTAGGAGCATCATATTTTCGAAATTGAGCAGTAACTCAATTTTACAAATTGAGCGATTGTTAGTTCTTTTACAGAAGCTTCGCGACCCGGTGAGATTTTTCGGTGAGATCTCGATCACACAAATTGTGTGCTAGAAACTTCGTAGAAAAAGACGACGACGCACACTATTGCGTTGTCATCGTAAGCCTATGTTATGTCCATCTCTAATCTAATCAAATGGCCTTTTCTGAAAGCAGTTTAGGACATACCAAGAAACAGACAATGAAGCCGTACCCGAAACTCCAATCGTAGCTAGTACGTACTTAGTCTGTATCCAGAAAGCGCGGGACAGCGCTCTGGTAAAGTTTGTTGTTGTTTATGCTTTTTCTTTGAGTTTGATATGTTTCTTTGAAAGTATTTAGTAATCCAAGGTGAGAGTTTTTACACGTATGCTACTATGGATAACCTGCTAGTCGTGGCTGAAATACCGTCGCTACCCTCTTCTGGCCCGTCTGCGTGGGAGAGCCTACAAGAGGTTTAATAGGCATTAAGTACAAATTCATTGTGACTGCACTACTATATAAGAGCCCGTATGTGCCAGCTCGACCTTGCTAAAAGACTACGATGCCATGGTGTTAGTAAAGGGCTCACAATGGACAAGCCAGAATAGTTACCGATTGTTATCATCAGATTTGGTGATATCATTAGATTCCGTGACTGAAGCCGACCGATAGGTGCAGAATAAATTGACGTACCAGTAATCGTGAGAACTCATTTAGTGCTCAATGAGTGGGATCTTATTTTGCTGTTAATTTGTGTGATGTGCAATATTTTAGACATTGCCTGTATTACCGATACTCGTTTACGTGCAACCATAAGATACGAACCACAAACGAAGAGCTAGATTATGAAAACAAATTTTTCAGTCGAAAAGTTTAAATAGAGCGTCAAAAATACAGAAAAAAAAAACGTAGACAGCCTCCTTGTTTGTCCTACAAATACTCAATTGTAAGTAAATAAACTGTATAGATATATAATTATGGTGTTCGGTTCATCTATAAAGCTCTATTAGGCTCTATCTGTGACACTTGAAAAACGTTCACTTCTCATATACATAAACCATATCAACTGATCATCGTAAGCAATGTTTGTTAACCCACTTCCTATAAGCGTGTGATTCTTGCAGGTATAAATCGACATCCCCACATATATTTTCTGCTTTTTCTGTTATTTTCGTTGTTTTAACGAAAATACGATAATCTGTTGCATCTGTGGTCGGTGTCTTTCGGATTTGGATCAGGTTACAGTATATTGATCTTTGGCGCGCAATGAATTGTCAAAGACAACGATAAATTGTGTGATCTTCCTCTCCATCCATAAGAAATACTCATCACGCAGCACTTGTAGGCCACCTGCAGGTATTTCAACAGGTTATATAAAATTTCGCAAATATTGGAAATTAAACCAAGCTACTATTTAAAACTATGTGTAAAAAGTGCTTAACACCAACTTCGTGCACCTCAGGCTTTTCATGTAAATGCTTTTATTAATCACTTGTATGAACAACAGGAGAAAATAGTGCGAGGACGCAAACTATAATATGTTATTACAATAAACAATTGTTTGAAAAGTACTTTGTACTTTTGTTGTTCTTTATTGTACATAGTGTTTCCTTCCTAGGTAATGTTTACATAACACGACCCATTCCAAGGTAAAATTTATTGACCTGAATAAGATTGAACTGAAACCAACTTGTCTAATAATTATAACAGAAATAGAAAAAAAAACTATGAATGGTGCGATGTTTTTTTTTTTTGTAAGTTTTGCGCATTGAACAACATATTGAGTTGAAGGGTGCTTGTTCTTTGTTTTTTTAAGTTGAGTAAACCATACGTATAGACTAGTACCAAGCCTGTTAACTACGCTCTCTGTATTACATAGAGAAAGCTATAGCTTTCTAATCGTCCCGTGCTCACCCGTATGTCACCGGTAACAAAACCACCGAATTATTTATTTGATTTCCCAAATAAATTATGTGAGCATTATTATTTTTGTGTCCAAGTCCTTACTACGAAACCCTGCGTTGTCTCGATCGCTGAGAGAGCCTCAAATGAACTACCTGAAGTGCAACAGCTCAACCATTTAAATCGGTGGATTTATATAAGAGTCCATGAAACCCTTTGTTCTGAAGCTTTGAAAACTTTTATTGTTGCAAGCGCTTCGAAAATAAGCCTGATAATAATCTAACTAGTTAAAAAAAAATGCGCTCCGAGAGGAGCGCATTTTTTTTTTCTAGGTAATTGTCCTGGCATCTTTGAGCGAAAATCACAAATTCCTGGAATGTTGTGCTACGATATGAAGAGCTCATAGGTAGTTAGAAACTCAGTCGTCTATATTGAAGTCTCCTGCAAGCCAAGTCCGCCGAAAACCAAGAAATTTTCGGCGGTGGGCTGTTTATAACCCCGTAGATTGAATTACATGAATATGAGTCCAAGCAAACAACGAGAATGTCTTCGTGTGATTATGAGGTATCAATTTGCAAAGATGCTCAACTCTCTACAACTAGAAGCTGGCGCGAACTTGTTGGCCCAATAGAAAAAAATCAATGTGTACGTATGCCACAACATATAGTCATTGTTTTTTTTTTCTTATACGATTAAAATAAATAAGTATATTATCACAAGTTCTTTATTGCACCCTTTGCTGGCTACTCGGTATGCTTTCAGTATAGGTATTATAGCCAACTGTACCCCGCTCATTTCAGTACGTTCCCTGTATGCGCTGACCGAAATCTACAGGAGTCTCAACTGAAATTTATGTGCGGTACAATTTAGCAAATCACCGCTAATTAACCTTATTTTTCAAATAGGAAAACGATATTGTATCCAACATCTATTTCTACTGATCGTTCGGAGAGCTTCACTTATTGACGTTTTCGACTCCTCAGCTTTCGTATGTTTAGCCATTTTACGGTAACCACGTTAAATCCGGTTATCACCGCTTACTCGTACTATATGAACTTGGCAATATCTCTGAACGAAGGTTAACACAATGCCAACGTCTGCTTTTTTTTCTATTGTTCTAAAACGCCTTTGAAGTCTATCCTATAAAGACAGAGATTAAATTTCACCTTTTTTTAAGATGCAAATTTTAGAGCTTTTTATAACATATTTCTTAATTTTCATAGTTTACTTTTCAATGAACTAGTGTGAAGTTCTTCGCCAGTGTTCTTGATTTTTTATATAGAGTACAACTACTATAAAAAATTAAAAACAAGTTACGGATGCTTTCTCGTCTATGAGTAAACGATTGCAGGCAGAAGTGCCAATTCAAGTACTGTATCTAGAGCTTTAATGGGAGAGTAAGAATTCCCATAAGCCTCGATCTCTCCTGACCGACCCTAATAATTACAAAATAGTAATTTCTGCAGATTTCTGATGCTTAGAGAATACGCGAACACAGAGTATTCTGCAAAATAATTACTATGACCTCTATTTTTCGGACTCGGTATCAAATTCTGCCAACGTTCTACTTATTCCCGTTGTCACATTTAAATCATTAGTACCGTACTCACTGTAATCTTCATTCAAGACAAAGCATACATGGCATATTTGTCGGGGAGCAAAATGGTGCTTGCCATTGGACATAGGGCGAAATGGTTTTCCCTAGAACTAAATAAGCCGGTTATATATGACACAATCTAGTAATAACTACAAGTGTGAAGTGTTGTTTTTATTTAATATAGGAATATCTTACTGTAATTACCGATATTGATACCTTCCATTAGCAAAAGAACTACGTGGTTAAAACCACAGAGAACAAATTATTTCTTTGTACACCGGATAGAGTTTCAACTACCCTATTAATGATTACAGAGGCGTAGTAGTATGTGCGAAGAAGTAACAAGTCAGTCTCCTTCATGGTGTAACTACTTCTATTGCAGTTATTTTAGTACAAACGATTGCTTGTCAAGTTTTAAGGACCATAATCAGTTCCGATATAGCCATTGAAGCCACATTACGCAGCGGTGAGGTTAAGGCTAGGAGTAATTAGTAATCAATTACGGATAAAACGGGCAACAACGTCCACCACTGAATATGCGCTCATAGATGCGTGCACCGAAAATGTAATGTGTATATTGCCCGTTTGCATGCATACCCACATGCACAATTACAAAATTATTGTTATCTTCACAAAATAAAGACACATGAGTTATAAATTATTTAACGACAACGCATTTTTACTGCTTGTCCTCTTTCATAGATATATCTCACTAATATAATAATTAGCATAATATAATAACTAAAAGCATGTTAAGTAAAAAATGAAAAGTTACTCCGATATAAGGAATAGTAGATATACATAGAATATACATTTCAAGTGGCCCTTCAAATGCAAATATTTTATGCTTATGACCACCACATGTAATGATAAACACGATCAACAAAACTGCTTTCTAAATGTACGCAACAACTGCAGATCCATTCACCAAGTACTATACCTAAGGCCTTTCAGTGTACCCTGTTTATGGTTGCCTTAGAAAAAGATTGTCCTACCAATGTGGCATTTATGTAGAATGATTACCTATATACATTGCCATATTTATATACAGTAAAATTCTACCGCAGTTCTAAATATATGATTCTCGACAACGATGCGCTTTTATGCTTTGTTCTGGCAACGATTCTGGTCGGTTAGAAGCCAATGTTACACTAATGCTCCCGTTGTGATGACGCGACCTCGTGACTCAATGGCAAAGATGACGAGGCTGTACCGCCTGTTGTTACCAGCGGCTTGCAGGCGCAGCCTGGGCAGACGTGCAAGGTCGAATGGACAAATATGTCACAGTCGAGACAAAAGAATTCATGACATGATCCACATTTGTACATACTTTGGCCTTCCACGGAGCACATACACGCGAAGCAAGTCCTGTATAAAAGTATAGTAAAGAAAAAACAAAAATTTAGCTGGACTGTGGGAAGCAGAAGTTTTACAAAATGGAACCATGCTGCTTCATCCTTTGAACAACTGAGTTGAAGCAACAACGAAAAGTTCTCATTTTAAAGCTTTGTCCTGATTCTCAAGGGGCTCTGCTTATTAAAAATGAATTAAACCCTGAAGGTAACCTTGAAGAAAGCTATGCATTTCAATTTGAAGTTGAATTTCATTCTTCAAATTTGAATTTCACATATATTCCAATAAATATTTCTATAAAGTAAACATAGTTTTTGTTTATCCTTCAAACTAGATTTACTGTTTGCATTGTTAGGTTTTATCCCCTGATCATAGATATTCCCTATAGTATCTTCTAAAGAACTGTCAGAGCCAACGCACTGCAATTGAATAAATCATGGACATATTTTAATACTCGACCTAAAATTAAACCCGTTTTTTAGTTGGTTCTAGATATTTTTTTAGAATGACTCAGTTTACAAATAATAGTGCATGTCCAAATATGTGATCTGCTTGGCTTATTCGTCACGAGAACTACCTTATTTGAAACAACTGCTACAGCAGCTTACATACCTTACTTCACCTTTCTGAAGGGGTGTCTCCTCAAAGTTATCCAAAGGAAACAGGTGATGATAGCTCCGTGCTAAATGCGGAGCCGATACCAACGTGAGTCCACAACAACGGCATTCAACTGGGAGCTCGCAATATTTCGATTTGCATTGGGGGCAAAAATAGCCCCCGGAGGACAGGTGGTGTCCGCTGTCGCCACTTGCGCTCTCTAAATGGCTGCAGTTTTCCGTCAACGAAAACAAAAAATAGAGACACGACTTCACTATCGTATCACAAATGGATCGATATAGTTGTCGATCACCTAATTATATGTACAGTCCGAATGCTAATCTAAATGCGATCCGAATTAACCAAACTGTAATCCACGTTGCAGCTAACGTCTGTGGTGCGATCGCGTATGGTATTATATATCTTGTTTTTAGTCGATTTAATATTTTTCGAAAACCCTTCACAGGTATATACTAAAAAGGATTTATATTTTTAAGGGAGTTGGAACGGTCCTCTCTCGTGAAAGTAAGGAAGATGTTGCCAAGACTGAGTGCTATATACCAGTGACATAGTGACGGTGCATCTTCATGTTCAGATCGGTGATAGGGAAATCCCATACGAACAAGGGAGCATTCAACATTACTCAGTGCCGGCGGAGGTAGGAGATGCGTACTCAAGAGCTCCCCCAGATGTTCCTCATCCATCACGACCTGATACGAGCCGCCTATGATTGTAAATACATAAATTAAAAAGTAACTTAGGTATAGCAACAAAATACAGCTGATATATGGACGAGGCTTATGCAGTTTGTCAAATAGGTGAAGCACATTTTAGAAGAGATTTAGGATCAAGATGGTAAAGAGACGACGAGATAGCGGCTTAGATCTTCTGTTTTATTTTTCAAATGCAGCATAAGGTTTATGCGTAAGATGGTAAGACACTAAACCCAGTAGATTAGAATTTCATATCTGTCTTCATAATAAGTAAGCACTATTTTGATGAAATTAGCTTTTCGAACGCGTTTTTAACGCGTTTTCTCTTATGTATATTTGGGAAGTGAATTCTCTAAATAAAAGTAAAATTCATTCAAAAACGTCTACTTTTATGTATTGAAAATTATCGAGAAAATACTTCGTTTACTTAATGGAATAAAGAAAACAAAAAAAAATAAGCACATTTTGTAAAAATTACATTTCATCCTGTCTTCTATCCATAACTAAATTATTTACGTTACTTTACTGTTGACTTCACTACAAATTTTATTATTTACTTACAGAAAGGGACTAAAAGAAAACGCTATTAGGAATAGGAATTCCATTCATATCATTGGCCATATGAATGCTTTACTTCTAGTATAGGTGTACCAATCTGTAAAAATCAGCTCCCAAATTTAATTGACTGCATATAAAAATGAATACCTGTAGTTTTGGTAAGTTGTCTACACACGTGAACTTCAGCGGCAAGCCCAATGACGGAACAACGCAGACCCAGCTGTTTGGCTTCACTAATTGTGGTCCCAATATCCGAAGGGTCACACGTTGTCAAACTTCCAAGAATGATAATTAGTTCGCGACTGCTGTGTGCCGGCATATGTCTAGTAAGGATTGGTTTAAGCAGATGAAATCACAAAATTAAAAAACAAATTGTTTATGGAAAACACAGAACACCTGATACTGTACAGTACCCACGTTACTTTTTGGTACGACGGTTCGCGTGAATATTTTTTTTACATAGTACTCCTCGGAAGGCTTCAATCGGTCAAGCTGCCTTATTGATCTATGAGTACTCCAATAAATAAGCTTCAACCCTTATGCAGCAGTGCCTGATGCATCAATAGAAGAAAAACAGCAAAATACTTACTGAAGGACATTCGCAGCCATATTGATGCTGTTTTGTAGACTGGGCTCCCCGACTGGAAGGCGGTCCTTAAGTTTCGCTAGACCTTCCTTGTGTTTTAGCGGATTTCCCGACAAATCCGATATCTGTGATTCGTTAGCATATAAAAGGTATCACGTTACTGCCAAATTGTAACAATTCGTTTGATGATTTCTGCCGCACGCTTGGTTCAGCTCAATCACGAAGACTTCAAGTATATATATCGTACGGTGTGGCCTTTACCAATTAATTACTTTTTCAGCCCGCTTGTTTGAAGTGGCAACAATGGCCATCTGCGAGATGGGATTCTCATCGTAGAAACGATCGACAAAGTTTTCCATTTGGTGCAAAACGCACTGCATTCGAGTCGGTTTCAAATCTGTATCGTTCATTGATGACGAGAGATCAAGTACGATGTAAATATGGCGCATCTGCAAAGAATTAAAACCATGAAAAGCGATAACTATGGGGTGCGAGCTGTATAGCGTAGACGAGCTATGATAGCGCAGGCGTCAAAATTCGAAAACAAAGGCAAATATTAGATGATACAATTTGATGGTCATTATGCGAGAAACAAAAACGTTTTATCGGTAACTTTTTCATGATTTTGGAATGGCGTATATGCCATCAACATAAATAATCGATATATCATCGATAGTATCAATAATTTATTCGCAATTTTATATTTATGAATTTTTATGGCATTTTCACAGAAAATTCATTTTGGAGAAAAGTTTCCCTCGACAGCACCAGTCTAACCGAGTATTGCAATAGTTCAAGTGATCTTCATTGATCAATTGCTGAATATATTGAAACAATAATAAACAGCGTTAAACGATGACGTGAATAATTAATTCGAATGCAATGCTTACCATTCCAAGTCGGACATTCTTCTGGAGAAGCAGATGGTGTCGCCTTGTTTTATGGACAATATCCTGTACACTTGCTTGTAGGTTCCCACTTTCATCTTCTTGGATAGCCTCCCTATAATAGGAAGTCGCAATAAAATTAGTTTAATTGGCTTATTTAAAGTAGCGTATTTAAGATTAGAAATACATTGTAGACCTACTGCGGATTAAAAAAAGCTATCATACGATGAGCAGCAAATCTACTATCTGAAAATTTTTTACCCGTGGGCCCTAACCTCTCCAGTTCCGACTCTAACTTCTTACCAAGTCCTCTCATATTCGGACTCCCAACGGTAGCCTTGCTGTTCTTCCTCCTCGGCCATTATTAACTGTGTTGTGTTCCAGGATCAAATCAGAATGAGGCGTCGAAAGTGCGTTTCACCCGTGTTAGCTCGCCTTTCGCCTATACAAAATAAGACTGCTGCTTAAACTAGTGTTGCATTGCATAATACCTAATACTTACAGAAATATACACTGATGAGGTAACTAACGCATTTTTGATGTTTTTAAATAAACAGCGTATTTTGTTTTTTTTTCAGCGTGGTAACTATAGGCAATGGCTCGCTTTCCCTTTCAGGTCCTTGTTCAAAACGACTGGTAACGTCCAAAGAAGTACCGTCGAAATCTCTCAACGGCTCGTACTGACAGCAAGCACGGTTTAAGAAGAGCGACATCTGGTGTCTGCGTCAGTCAAACAGCTGCTAGGGTAGGCAACCATTTGCCTCTACAAATTTCTATAAGCTCCTCCGTGGTCGGCGTCGTGAACAGAGTCCTGTAGCTTGGCTACAGTGTATAGCGGAATTAAGATGCACACAAAATTTCGTATGAACCGTCTGTTAAAAAAATTCTTCCAAACCTTTAGTTGACATAAGAATTGGCAAAAATGCCACCGTCTGAACCTTTTCGGAATCCAGTGAAACTTTGGCGACTGCGATTTCGTAGCTTAAATACATCACCTTCTGGATCGCATTTCTTGGCTTTTAGCCGCAGGCTAGAGGAGTAGATCACAACTAGTATTTTTTTCCAGGTGGGTCACGTGAGTATTAAGATCAGGTTCACGGTGGACCAGAGCAATTTGGTATTTTTTTGAGAGACCCAACGACCTTGTCCACCAGCCTGTGGAACACTGCGGGTACGTTGGCGAGGCCGAATCACACTCGTTTAGACTAGTAGAACCCTCTCGACGTGCAGAATGTCTAGGAATAAGTTAATCTGTGCATATTCGGTGATCAGGCCCAGATCGCTGAAGTTCTAAGCATCGGTAGGGATGGCAAGTACATAAAAATCGTTAATCGAAACTACTGGGAAGAATCACGAATTGGATGAGGGTTCAATGATGCCGTTGCACAGAGCAGTTTGAACTTTAGCCTCTAACGCCTGTAAAAGCCTCGGCCGACCCTATTGGCGCGTTGTCATAACCACTAAGCTGGCAGATCGCACATGAACTCCCCAAAAAATAGCTCAAGACCCTGTTCAGTTGAAGGAGAGTGCTCTGCAAGGTAGTGCTAGGGTGCTCCTTTGTCTGCTACGCACATAGTTGCTGTTGTTCGTATAACGGTAATTATCAGGTATTGTGACAAACTGAAACCCCTTCCTCAAAACGGTTTGCTTAGAACCTGACCTTTTGCGGGGTTGTTAACGTCATTGTAATATTAAGGTTTTTTCCGCGCTCGCCACCACTCACGGGCTTGAATCGGCTCCTGGGTAATGTCTTGAGCTCTGGTACTCACACGGTAAGGTAATTGAGGAAATGACATTTTAGTACGTATCTATTGCACATTTAAAGCTTTGAAAGTGTACGGTAGTCGGTAAGGTATATCGGTCGTCCATTTGCTTTACCTTGTTTATCCAGAGCACGATTCGCTGTTGCTACCATCAAAATGCTGCAAATAACAAAGCTGCTACTAGCAAACTACAATCCATTCAACTTAAGCTGCCGTTTGTGTAGACACTGGCGAAAATATCTAGAAAATATGATGTGGTTAATGTTTGCGGCACGAATCTTTACATAGACAGTTGCCGAAACCGTGTCACAAATAAAGTAGTGTACTTTGCATTGTGAACGGAGTTATTCAATAATGCGTTTATCGCAATATTTGTTTGTATATTTTTTTCTAGCACACAATATGTGTTCACGAATCTGTTTCCACCTGTATGTTTATGTACGTATTATTATGTTTATTTAAACAACATGTGATGTCTGTGCATATCGGCATATAAAATTTATAGCTGCTTTCTCATTAAAAAGAAAAATGGTTAATGTTTCATTGGCCCAAAATCAGCTCACAATGAAGTTAAATATGAGAAAATTAAAACGAAGAAATAATGCACCGCCCAAATTTCATAATTTTACGTTAATATAAAAGTATCTTCAAGCGAATGACTAGCAAGTATTGTTTATAATAAAAGACCTCAAATTTATCAGTGTCAACAAATGGGTGCTTCTAGTGACCAGTCTACTGAGCCTGCAATTAAATAACCTAATCAAACCGTCTACTTTATTTATGTTGAAACTATATCGCGTGTCATTGGTGCCAAACTCTTATTGCAGTTTTAGGCACTGCATACAGCAACTGTTTGTTTTATAATTGCGTTTTTGCGTCTTGTGAACGTCTTACTACTATAAAACAACAGTACTTCTGACAGTTGATGATAGACTCGACATAGACGAAGGAAAAATCTTTAGTGGAAGGAGTAATAATTGTGCGTACGTTGAAATACCTGATATCCATAGTGAATTGCAAAAATAACTATATTAACTCATTATACTGTTCATATATAACATTATATTATAAACTTCAACCTAATGATGTACTGTTATAGCAAGCTGCGTACAAAAAAACAAACATTTTATACTTACCCTTTCTGTGCTTATTAATGAAGAGCACAATGTACACTACCTAGTATTCTAGAGCATAAGACGCTCGAATTTCTTTAATCCCACCTAGGGCCGGCAGAAACGTTCGCATTGCGATCATATTTGTAAACACGACAGTCTGAGCTCGGAATAGTAATGATCGCTTAATTTTCGTCTGCTAGAACCGCTTTACTATCGACAATTCTAGCTAAGTTCAAGTGTATGCATGTTAGCAAGACAGTTCGGTTCATTACACAAATGCTACATGGCATGTAGCAAATCCAAAATGATTCACTAAGTTTGTCTTATTTTGACGCATCGAACCGTAAGCTTTTCTCCCAGAATTTCTCCGATCCGTTTGTTAACAAGGACATTTAGCAGACATGCGCTACTCCATTATTAGTGTGTTCCGATCCTGAAGCCACTGTTCTAGTAAATAAAAAAAAAAACAACACCGCCGGGCTTATGTAGGGTGCACGGCATCGTGCGTTTCAGATTAACCCTGTTATACATAAATCGAACTGAACCTTTTCAAGCACGAACGTGCGATTTTAACCATCGTGCCCTATACAACATTGAATTTTTCAAGACTGTGTTTGTAGACGTCGCCGGTCGTCAAAAATTTATTTGCACTGTGATCGCCAAATCATTCATACTTAAGTTTCCCATAAGAAAAATCCAACAATAATGCTAAGGCGCGCTGGTAAATTCAGTCAGGCCACTGTTCTCTGGGGAATTAATAGCGGAGTTCGCGCTGTGAATTTGCGCGCACCCGTCGTAGCGTCAGGACCCCTGGTAAGCTTAAATACTGCAACTATAAATGTTGGCGAAGTTATAATCAGTGTGCGATGGGAAGAATGTTATACGATTTTGCTGTTTAGTGATGTTCACGATCATTGCTCGGACAAATAGAACATTCTAGCATAAGGAGTGGCTGGTGGTGGCAGCTAATGGTTCTTCCGGTCTCAAAGAGTAGTGTCTGAGAATCTGAGAAAATAGCGTTTATCGACATGGTGGACAGGTTGAACGAGCTGAGACTTTGTTTTTTTATGTCAAGAAACTAATTTGTATGAGCAATGCTTTAGTGTTGTTATCTCTATACACATGGCGATTGCCGCGAATCGAAATGTGGCTATTGAAATCTGTTTCGCTCTGGACAGCGTTATCTATTAACACTATTAGCGGTCAATATTACGCTAAATAAATATATTTAGCTACGTGTGAATACATCACTGATGCAAGTCAATTTCGAAGATAGATGTATCGGGTACATTTTCGGGGCTTGCTGATCACCCCATTAGAAACGAATTATATACAAAACTGTGAAACCCAATTATTTTATAAAAATAAGAATCCGTATATTAAATGGTTCATTTTTGTTGTTTGTGTTATGCACATCCCGGCTCATCTAGGCCTTCAGTTCTCAAAATCGCTACCGTTCATCACTACCGATAAACACTGGATTAATGTTTGTACCACAACAGGAAGCATGGCTAGTTGAGCGGATGGGCGCCTTCCACCGAGTTCTGGAGCCCGGACTTAACCTACTCATTCCTGTTATCGACCGCGTAAAGTAAACGAGCATTCTATACTTTAGCGCAGCCATCCATTATTTTGCCATTTATACTCCTAAAAAGTATTTTGTGTATACCGTGCAACATAACGATTATGTAGATACTGGTTGTGAATCATGTTAAAAATTCATTTCAAACGTAGTATTCTCACTTAAAGAGGCAAGCTCAGACCCAGTCCTTCAAATCTATTATAATCGAAAAAAATTACATTCTGGCATCTTAAATGTAATAACAATAATGTCATTGAACATAATAACAGTCACAGTAAGAGTGTGTCTATATAATATTTATAATATCTGATATTGAATGCCGAAGCAAACATGTTTCGAAATAGGTTTAACTAACAGGTAGAATAATATGTGACAAATATATATATTGTTAGTTTAGAAATATGTTATGTGTGTATATCTAGGGCGCAATTCAGCTTCGATGAAGCCTTGTAATGTATCCCGCATCGTTAGCTTCGCTGAATTCCAATTGACGTTCTTTTTGCTTTTTTTTTTTCCAAAAGATTGAACCTTCATTTGGAAATGACTATTAATTTGCTGTTCGGTTTACAGGTATGTGCAGAGCCTAAAGGAAATTGCAATAGACATTCCACAACAAAGTGCAATTACGGCCGACAACGTAGGCCTGAGCATCGACGGTGTTCTTTATCTCAAGGTAGATAACATTTAGTTCTCTATTTACAGAAACCCAACAAAGTGGGCCGTTCAGCGAGAGTACAATGGTATAAAATTATCAGAGTGAAATTGGTGCTGGAATATTTCCATTCGCTTTTTCCGGCTGAAAAGAAGCAGCCCATTATCTGACTAGTATTCGCTGTCAGCCGTATAGCAACTACATCGCTCAGCCATCATTGTTTTATCGCTTAGAATAAAATTAACTGGGACAAATCATGGCGGGCCGTTTGTCGGAGTTATCATATACGTCATTTTACTAGAGCAAAACTACTTCTTTTTAAAACAAAATCTCAGATTCATAATAGCAGAAGCTGGAGGCTACGTGTTCCAAATATGAATGAAAGTAGGTACTATGCGATGTCTTCGTGCTGGGCGAATCTCCACCGACAATTAGTGCTTTGTTTGCTGCCTAAAATCGACAGCTTTACGATGTTGCCAATGGTCAACTTTGAGATAGCTCGGAAATTCATCAAAATGGCACCACAAAAGCCGTCTCCGGTGGTTCCGACATTTTGGTGTAAAAACGTACGGTTTTTTTTGTTTTTACGTTACGGTTTTATGGGAAATATCAATTGGGTCTTCCAAATAAACGTTAACGGTTAGATTTTTTTAGACATTTTGCGTTTTCATACCGCTTGACTTTTTGGTTATATGGTTTTGTAAAATCCTCGGTTAACTATAACACGAAAATTTTAACGAGCTGAACTTTTTTGTCTAGCGTATTTGAGTAAGATTTCGATGAACATATATGCACTAACATAGTTTTAATCATGACTGAGCAATTATTTTCCGATTCAGATAAAGATTTTTCTTAAAAACAACTTGTGAACATTTCGGACTTTAAATTGAAGTTCTGATTAAAGATAAATTGTCTATTACAAGTGCTCCTGTAGACCCTTGCAAAAAATTTTATCTAAATGTTTGTCTTTAATAAAGACAAATCCCGAACACCATGTTTATAGAATAAACATGGTGTTCGGGTTATTTTATTTGTAGAATATATAGAATCTATAAGTTCTCTATATTCTATAAACAAAATAAGTGTTGACGAAGAAATCCCTATGGAGTACTTACTGCGGTTATTTTCTTTAAGACTGTCAATATAATTGGGAGGCTAAACTGCTAAAACTGTATTTGAAAACCCATGCTCTACACTATCAAAACCTTTTTATTAGTAATCGTGAATGATGCTAGTTTGTAGGTTTGAAATTTCGGTCCGACGGCAGACACAACATATTTTAGGATATAAAGCTGCCAAAAATCATATCTACTGTAGAGGCTTAAGTTCTCGGAAATTCGGTTTCGGAAAAACGTCAGTTTTATGTCATTTTTCGATTTTGTTGATAGATAGTGTTCTGTTTAACGAAATTCACCCGTAGCTTAGCTTTAGTATATGTTTCAGTGTACTTTTTTTTTTACAACAGTTTTGCCTTTACCAAGGACGTGCAGCAACATGACTTTCTTACTAAATAATGCTCTTTAGGCATGGTCACACATAAAAAATTTTAGCCAATATGGACAACATCTTGAAGTTATGAAAGTGGACTAGAGATGAGCCAGTCGTCTTGTCTCAAACCAAATGTGTGCTAATTTATCCGTAACGCCCCGTAAAAGTGGATTTAATACGCAGCTTGAGGACCATGCAATTGCTAGACGAACACCGTACAATATTAGACGAAGACATAAAAAAATCACAAAAAATTATTCGGGCTCAGTTTAATTTCGTGGCATAATTCTATAAAATAAGTGAAAAAAACAAATGTCTATTAAACGTCGGCCGAAGCTTTACTCGATTGGCAAATAACAAAGTTAACATATATTTTTATTGAATACCGGCGTATAGTTGGTTCGATTTTAGAGGGAAAAAGCAAACTAATCCTGTAATAATTGATACTGCTGTGCACTTCTATAGGTTCAAGACCCGTACTTGGCTAGCTATGGAGTTGAGGATCCCGAATTTGCAGTCACGCAATTAGCACAAACAACGATGCGTTCCGAGTTAGGCAAGATCACTTTGGATAGCGTGTTCAAAGAGCGAGAATCTCTTAATATTGCTATTGTCGAAGCTATCAACAAAGCATCCGCTTCCTGGGGAATCGATTGTCTGCGATATGAAATCCGAGACATAAAGTTAGTAGATTAAAAACGTATTGCCTAAACTTGAGAGAAAAAAGTATATTATTCATAATCAATGATAAATTTAGGGAGATTACGCTTTTATGTGAATTTAAAACAGCATTCAACTGCTTCGCACAGTACCACTATATTTCAATGAAAATCTAAAGATTTATCTAATAATTTTGCTTGCTAATACAAGTTGAAAAAATTAACGGATTTAAAATCCTGGCTTCGTGTTCATAATTAAACTGCAGGCTTCCACCTCGGGTGACCGAGGCCATGCAAATGCAGGTAGAAGCCGAAAGAAAAAAGCGCGCGGCTATTCTCGAATCTGAAGGGGTGCGTGAAGCTGATATTAACGTAGCCGAAGGTCAGAAGAAGGCACGCGTTCTCGCCTCAGAGGCGCAACAGGTTGAACTCGTCAACAGAGCTCAGGGAGAGGCCGAAGCACTAGAGCGGAAGGTAAGATTTTGGCAAAAGTTTCTTTAAATGTTTAAATCTTAAATCTTTTTCATTGATTACTGAATCTGATCTTATTTTTCAACTCAACTAAATAATTAACAAAATCTATTTATTTTATTTGTTAATCTGTTGGTAAAATTTTTTGCGGCATTAACAGTAACAATGGTATTTCTCCTATGCTAAATCGAGTAATTAAAAATAGTCATCTATGTATGATTATTTTTACGAACGTTTTAATGCCGACACGGTAGGCAAAGGCAAAAGCGGCTGCACTCCGAATTGTGGCGAATTCCCTTGCGGGCTGTGGAAAAGATGCAGCATCGCTCGCAGTGGCAGAGCAGTATGTGGCCGCTTTCAGTGAACTCGCTAAGGAAACAAATACCATTTTACTCCCAGCCAACTCTGGTAAGTTAGTGACCTGAGTAAGAGTTCCCTGCTGGAAACGTTATCGTAATCATTAGGAACTTAGGCACAGGGCAGGGCCGAAACAACTAGGGGTTATTTGTACTTATGTGTAATTAGGTTGGACGTTTCTCTACGAGTTCTGCGCATGGGGACTAACGAGTGCTTTGCGAGCTGAAGATTACGATTTTGTTTTATATTTTTTTTTCGTAGGTGACATGTCTTCAATGGTTGCACAAGCGCTTGGAATTTATCAGAAGCTCCAGGCCACTCCATTCTACACAGGAAAGAACAAAGAGTTAGTATTTTTCATTAGATGATTTATCTTCTCCTTTAGTGGTTTCTACATTTCAATACTACTACTATATTAGATAAATGGTTTAACCTAACTATGTTTAAATTAAACCAATAGTATTTAGATGCGTTTCGTAAGACTTAAGACTCGCATTGCAGACATTTCATAATGGGATACAAAAAGTAACAGTTTAGATCCAAAAGAAGACTGCTATTTTGCTCCTTTAATTCTTAAACTCTTTTAGTTATTTAAGCCATTATAAATATACATAGTATACTCAAATCGTTTTCTCCTATTCATTATTCACGTAGCTCACCTGACCGTGAGGGTAACTTCGCTGCGCACGACCCCGGAATCGATCCTGCTGAACCTTTAAGCAGTAACGAAGGACAGAACTCTACTAGAGAAAAAAAAGCGGAAGCTAACGACCTTAAACAGTCGGAAGACAAGCTGATCGACGAAATATTGACTAAAAAATAGTGTCCATATGTAATAGTTATTGTTCCTTTTTTATGGTGCATTATGGGGGTTCGTTATATAGTTAGACAGTAAATACGAAAAAAAAAAACTTGAGTAAATACTCACGAAAAAATACAAAAGCTGAAAAGGCGAATCAATGAAGCTCGAGCATCACATAAACATGGTATCGCTATTAAGAGGTAATCGTTTTGCAATCGGCGTTATATTTACATTACTGCGCAAATGATAAAAGGTGTCCGAAAATACATGTTTAGATGATGCTTTTAATTAACTAATTTAATTAATTAATAATAACCTTAATTAAAAATTAATATGAAAAAAGGGAGTGTGGACGGTATGCAAACGACTGTAAAAATTGAATGGAAGCAAGAAACGTATGTATATCGAGATTTTTTGTAGGTAGTGGAGGACGGTGCGAATTTCTTAGCTCAGTCATGGGGCCTGAATGTCTGATATAGTGCATGGCTTATATAAGAACTTATCAGTCAGAAATATACTGCACTGCTTATAATTGTACACTTATCATGCTGTCTGTTTTATTTCTAGTTTACTTTTATATTTCGATCCTTTTTCTCTTGTCATAAAGTAGTCTTTATGATTTACTCGTTTTAAGAAAAAACGGGTCTTGCGTTTATGGTGCAGGTTATCGGTCTGGTGTACCAGAGAGATGGTCGCAGTATTACCCTACAGTAATACGAATGTAGGATAATATAAACAAACTTACGCTTTCGTATAGCGGAACAGGGTGTTTTAATGATTTGGATGTATTAGGTCACTGGCTCGAATTATGTACCTTTCGCGACATGCAACGCAATCGTGAAGCTGCAAAATTAGTAATTAGGTTAATATTACATCTGTTTCGAAAACAGAAATCCTAATTATAAATAACCTAACAACAAATTTCTACAACCGAAAAATGAAGATATAATTAGCTTCTGTTGGTTATTAAGTGTTATGAGGCCATTTGTCAGCCCTGTATGTCACACTGAATGCTATGCTGAATCTCACGTGACAACTGGCAGCAAAGTAGATTAAGGCTTAAATAAGTTAACATTACATTTTTATCTGAAAGCTTCGAAAGGCCTGACCTATGCTATAGTAAGGCTTTTTTTTTCAAAGAAGCATCTGCTTCCGAGAACTTGCAGCCCTAGCAAACTTATATTGATATATTTATACATGTACAACGATTGGATATTAATGGCCGTCCGTTTTGTGCAGGTTATTGTTGTTAAACTATATTTTATATGATATTTTGCTGTTAGTGGTGTTTATATAACAAAGCTAAACATTCTCAAAAAATTACTGAGGCTTTCTATTTTGCTGTTACCATTTTTGTTGTGTGAACCCTCAGAATCGGTATTAAAACGTATATTTCAGCCAAGGTATATAGTTAACTATGCTTTACCTTTAGTTGGCTACTGTATAGCCGATCATTTTTCTAGGTCTTTCCTGATCTGACGACTTCATAAGCTCACTTTTAACAGCGGGATCAGCATTACTTGTACCTATGCTGTGCGTCATATATTTATGACGTTTTTTCCAAACAAATTAAAACCTTAGTGTAATTTTACCTTTGTTGTCTAGACGGCATTCGCCATCATTTTAGTCGAACCTTTCAAGTTGAATTGTAGGAAACTCCACAATGGCAAACTAAGTTCTTCGCGTCAAAACATTCTTACAAATCTTTTCAAAAAGTGCCATAGATCTAATTACGTAAACCGTTGCCCGACACCCCAATGCTATCCTAACTTGTGCGTTCTTAGAATAATTAGACCTGCAGGTTCTGAAATCCCCGAAGTTAAAAAAATTCTCAGGTTCTCTTGAGTTTGATTGAGAAAAATTCTCAAAGCTCTTTGTACTTGACTATGTTCGTTAAATTCTTACTTTAGTCATAAGACTGCTTTCATTAAAATCAATCTGCTGCAGAGAAAAATGCAAAATGTATGCATCCATGATTGTGTAGTGAAATGACCTGACGCATATTTAACTGATCGTTTAGTTACATCCTTTCCATTCTTTGTTTTGTAACGTATGCAATTTTTACAATTTAACGCTGTACTGATGAACTTTCCAACAAGTAGTCGACGGGTTTGGCCGTTCATAGGATAAGAATAGTCTAAACTAGGGGTATCATTTTACTGACCGTAGTCATTACAGCTTATCGCTCAACTAGCCATCATAATGCTTCTGTAGTTAATTATACGTTCATATTTTTTAACGCAGCTCGTCGCTTATTCTATTTAAACATCCGCACTGATCCTTTAGATAGAAGCCACACTTACGTAAGTAGAAGAAAAAATGACTGAGAGTGTAAAGAATAACTTCCTGCAGAAATATTACAGCGGTGCTAGTTGCATAGTGCAACATTTTATATTTGCCTCCTATTACCCCACTTTTGGAACGTCAGAGATTCGAACATGCGCGTAAACAGTCGACCTTTTTCCAAGCTTCGACGAACTAATCAAGGAGTAGATGTGCCATTAATCTCAAACCCATTAAAGGATCCAAACTCATCAACAGCATTTATGTGTAAATGCTAAACAAGTAATCCATGAGCACGGTTTGTCTTCGAATTTCTTATGTGTGTAAATATAGGTGTTTTCACATGAGTATCATAAGCTGTTCAAATCATAATGTATATACTCCCCTGTATGTAGATGCAGATGTATTATGATGTATACACTTCATCTAGAATTGTGGTACATCATTTGGCGATTATGAGACGCGCTATTGAGTAATCTTCCTAAATGTTTATGTTGTGTAAACTTGTTACAATCTTTAAATCACTTGTCAAAATCAATTATCCTGAGAGACGGAATCGCACAAACTAAGAAGAAAAAAGCCTGTTACGTGATGGTGGTCGAAATGAATAGTCAACTGACTTGTGAAAGACTGTGAATAATTGGCTCACAGTGAGCCTAGTAAAAGACTATCGGAAAAAAAGGAGCTCTACCGAGACTTTTGAAAGTAACTCAAAGTGTGCCAGTGGTGTCAGTCAAAGCAAATAATAAACGGCCGCTGTAAATGGTCATGTTTTTCTTTGCAAGCTGTTGAGTTGCAAGGTAATTAAGGAGAACTCCAACCTTTAATGCAAAGTTTAAAATGAATAATTCGCTTGTATAATTTAAGATATATGCAAATGGCATAGATTTATGCGTACGAATTAACGAAAATGAGGATTTTTGTAACGCTTTAAATGACCACCCATACACTCATCATGTAGCTTCTCAAATCAAAAGTTGGTACCTGAATCTATCTGTCTAAAATCTGTCTGTGGTGTTTTTACATTCGGGACAGATAATGCAGCTGCAGTCTTAAAGGATTACGTTGCGAAAAATGATGGTGACATAGCAGTGATCAAGCGGCTTGATCGAATACGATTGCCGTGATTAAACTATATAGAAAACTGACACTATATGTAATATAATGCCTTTTTGAAATGTATATAAATTTTGTATATTCATTATTTATGGTCGCCTATTTCGTCGGTTTGGGTTTAAACAAGATAAAGAATGGCAAATTGCGGCGCTGCATAGCAGGAAATTTAAAATCATTCATTTTGCACCTTATATAGCTGCCATTCGATCCATCCGAGAGATTCCGAGAAATCCATCTGGTGGTCATGTTTTCATAAAGATTTTCAAGAATAATGATCGTTTATATTACAAGTTTAATATTCTTGAGGTTATCACTAAAGCGAAACGGGAAGCGATTATCTACAAAAACTTGTTTCCCTGGAAATTAGCTTCAAGTCTTCATGAAAGTGTTCTTGTAACCTTGTAGCATAGACTTCAAATAAAATGTACTGTTATGGTTCATTCTTAAAGGTCTCTGATCGTGGGGTATTTAGCAAAAACAATAGCAACGAAGATCCGTGCCCACATATATTATTTTCGTGACGTCATTGTTCTTCATCGCGTTCTTGCTGTCTAAGATTTATTATTTTTACTGAGAGAAACCTATTACATATGTTTCATCACTAATGGTGTTTCTTGCCCAACGCAGATATATTATTTTATTCTTGATTTACTCCCATTTTAATTAATTATTACTATAATTTCGCAAAGGATTGAATTCACATCTGAGCTATGAGCGACCCAGCCTTAGGCCAAAACTGACTTGAACCGGATACCTCTACTAAGCATAGGCCAATAAAAGACCAATTATACAGCGTCTCAGAAGCAGAGCCAGCATTTCGGAAAGCCGAGGATAACATGTTGGTTTTTGTTTGGCAAGATATCTTTTTGCGAATTCTGTGCGTATCTTACCTATAACAAAAAAAAAAAAAAAAAAAAAAGAAATATCAGCGTTTCTGCTAAGATGAACTAAAACTAGAATTAGGTTGATATTCGTCTATGGACATTATCTTGAGATCAGGTTTAATTTAATAGGTATATTTTCTTTTCTATTATAATAACAGAGTTACATTATTACGATCATGCATCTTTGAACAAATGCTCAAACATTTCTTTTCTGCTTTTCTACCACAATCAGGATCCCAGTGTAATTGCTTCTATAGAAATTTGTGTGCCAAATCAACGCATAAAAGCATTAATTATCGTCAACCAAAATATTTACCAGTTTAAAATTGGACAGTAGAATATCAAAAAAAAGATATGTGTTTGCTACAGGATGTTGTCTTACTACACATTTTTGCAGCTTAGCCAACTTGTTACACATCATAGCCTACTAAACTATTGATTGGTCATATTGGTTACTCCGCTAGTATATGCATTAGCCAATCCGAAAAACCCCATATGTTGCCTCCGCTGACGCTAAATCTATCAAAAGCGCGGTTACCACTTGCGTGAAATCTCTACATTTTTTCCACTCCGTTCATTCTTTCTCTTTCATTCCAAGCCCTTTTCATCATACAGTGCTAGTTGCTTAGCAGTGTTTTACTTATTTGGATATTTAAAAAATCTGTCTAATTAATCGGTTTATAAGAAATCGGAAATTAGGCTCTACAAAAGATGCTTTGATCAGAATCATGCGGGCTTTCCTACTTACAGTACGAACCGGCTTTGGGTAACTTATTTCGATTACTACTACCATCCTAGGGTTAGAAGCTCTGACGAATCCTGTTTTGACAAGACCATCCGCTGATACGAGCTCAATAGGTCTTTTACAAACTGGAAATCTATCATGGGCCTTACATGCATAGCAAAATTATTGATTAAATTTCAAAATTTCAAGTGCTAACTCGAAACTCCCTAGAGCTTAGTTTTCTCGTCTTCTGATCTTTTCGCTTTTCCGAAGTAATTTCACAGAGCATATTTGTGAACTGACTCATTACAAGCTGACCACAGTAGTCTTCGTAAAAGACAAGTTTCTTATCTGAAACAAGCTCTAAAAAATCGTTAAAGTTTTGTGTGCTAAGTATCATTTGCGAAGTTTATTATATATGTTTAAAAATATCTTTGACTACTTACATGGGTAGGTTTCGAAAAGACTTCTTAACTCTGCATAATACAGGTGTAAAGACAGAATGTATCGCAACAAGCGTAAAAGACTAATGTACGTAAGAAGGTTTAGTAAAATTAGTTGTACTTATTGCTACGTAAAAAGCTTCCTATTAGAAAATATGAAAGCGATTGCGAATTTTACTCTAATACGCAAAAAAACGTTTGTATCGGAAAACATTTGCGCGAAAACATAGTAACCATTGGCGAGCTCAATTATTTAACGTTTCCTATCAAATAAACAACTTTTTTTTGCTGTCTTTATGTGTGCGAAATACACGTGTGACGACGTACATATGATTTAAGAGGATGGACGGAAAGATATGTTTCATTTACCAATAAATACAGAAAATAAATGGATCAGGAACATATAAATGATTAAGTGTCGGCTTAATCTTTCCGATTTACAATGTATCCTTATTATGGTAAGGCATTGCATATACGCTCGCAAAGTGGGTAACACATTGCTAAGTGTTTGTGTATTCTTCGACGTGTTTCCATATCGATCTAAACAATGTCCATTTGGCAAAGCACTTCAGCCACTAATATTTGTTCGCCACTCTTTGAGATTATCCTCTAGATACGCTGAAAAGCTGATCTGAATGCCATATTGGCTCACAGGTTCAACAAACTGAATCAAACTTTGTTCCCCTACGTAGATTTAGAATTAGATAGGTGTTAAAAGATAGAGGTAGGCACCATTTGTACAATTATGCTTGACTGTGTATGATCTCACCATTAAACGTAGACCGTGTAATCCACTGAACGGGCCAGTCCAGCGGTAATAAGGCTGAAAAAGACGACCGTATGGTTACCTAGCAACCTTTCGAGTCAGACAATTTTTCTAAACCAACTCGACGGTCAGCCACACGCATCTGGAAACATCGCGACTCTGTGATAGGCTCTGTTAAATAAGGACGTTTTTTACTTCTGACGGAACGCCGAACTAACGTTACCGTATTGCTCGTTCGCTAAGGCAGGCAATGTTGAAAGCGCCGAAGCTATGACACGCCTGGAAAGTATTTCTGTTAGACGACGTGAACCGCCTCCGAAGTAGGTCAGGCCACAGTTACATAGGGAAGACAGCGCCGCACGTTCGAATCCAGACAGTAGAGCTCGAGACGGCTGTGGCACGGGCCAGGATTTGCTGTTGGGCCACAGCGGGTTCTCATCAAAGGATCAGCAGATGCGCATCATGCTGCTGTGTCCTCACGCATCCCATCCGGTCTTGATTTAACCGGTGTAACTCGACAACCTGATTAAAACTTGGTATTTCATCGTGAGACGGTTTGCGGTTCTGCTGTCAGTATGAGTATCATCATAAGGCACCGGCTATGATTCAGGTAGGACTCTGAAATAACCTCCGGGAGGGAGGCGCCAGTGGGGATAAATTCAGGAAAAGAGCTCCGTCGGCCGGTATATAAAGAAGTCGAATCATAGTGAAGGGTCTACATTTCCAGCATCCATACACGCAGGTAGGTGGTTAAGGTGCTTTAGATCTGATTAACAGAAAGAGCTAACAGAATCGATTCTTTCATTTGCTAAAGGAATCTATGTTACATCGATTATAATAAACGTCGCTTTAACCGATTATGGCTCATAGGCAGTGCTATTATTAAGGGTGTTACTCAATTTAGAGTAGATGTTTTTGCCTAGAGTACAGTCAAAACGGTGTTTCGTTTTTAATCAATGTTACATATCTTCCCCGCGACTGATAACGACGGAGAAATATTTTTTGTTGTGAGCATTTTGCAAAGCAAACATAATGTGGAGTTCTGTTTTGAAATACCGTGAAACTGAAGATAGAATATTTGTTGTATAATGAAGCAAATTTACAAGTTACTTATTAGAATAAAGAAATCCAAAAATAGATGCTCAAGCAAACACAATCAACTATGTCTACAACAACAAACAATGAAAGAGTTTATTTATTGAATTATTTTAATTATATTATACATAACAAAATACAGTGCTCACTATTGTTCGTACGATCTGTAACGGAGAAATTTTCTTAGATCGCTCTGCTGTCATTTTGGTATTTTTTCTAACTGATTATCCTGCTAACGCCAAACGTGTCGTAAGAAATTTTTTACGATTCGTTGTTATCGTCCGGGCCCCAGTCCGAACCTCATTTATGATGAGGTGGACCCTATCTGCTGGAATGGTGGCCCTGGCCGTATTACTGTTTCTTTTTACCCTCCTGCCCAGCCCAGGTGAGGCCGGGAGGAGCAGCGAACTCAATAAGCGACCAAGGATAGATTTGCGTACGTGGCTGAAAAATATCTACCCACAAATTGCTGAGGATGAGGAGATCGTACAACCAGTAGGCGGGATTACTGGTACTGGAGCACCAGATAAGCGAATCCGTGATGAGGATTATGGACATTTGCGGTAAGGAATCATGCTTTATAAAATTGTGTATTTTATATTCTAGATATAAAAGGGTTGTTGTCAAGGGGACAGCCTTCGAAGAAGGTTGCATTTCATTACCATTCTCAGTCATATCGTACACTGCCTGATTGCTCAGTATTAAACCACTGAGAGCCAATATGGGCATTTCATTAAATCTATAGACCCATATCGAAGCGTTTTAGCTGTATCTTTTTGCGCACATTTCATTTTTGGCGTGTGGCATATTGGCTAGGATTGGAAATGACACGTATGAAGTAGAGAAGCTTAAGAAGGCAAATTAGTCTAAATCTTTATAATTCAGTCTCAGTATGCGAACTCGAGAGGCAAATACCGGCAAAGGCCGGTGAACCATGACTGCAAGTGATGATACAAATTTTTTTTTCGCGAAGCTCTGAAGATTCTTATTTTCAGTTCTAACTTATTTAAGTTGCTGACAAAAGCTTCTGGCGTAATTTTGTTTCACCAGTAAAATATCGTTACACTCCTATCTGTAACACTTTTAAAATTCCATTCTGTTGCATCAAAATCAATAAGCCCATTTCGAAGGCTTACGTTGGGGTGCTCTATAGATTCCACAGAAAGAATTGCAAAATGAGTAGTAAACGAGGAAATTTCGAGATAATCTTAAAAGTTCTGCAGCATCCGTCTTGTAATAATGATGGTAACAATAAAAATTTGCAGATTCGGTCGCGCTGGACTTGGGGATGACTATGGTCACATGCGATTTGGCCGCAAGTAGGGCAGCCATACAATATCATCGGGTGAAAGATCTGTAATCCACCAAGGACAAAAACCATAATCGCCAGTGTGCAAAATTGGAAAGCTCTGTTCAGAATTTTTTATTTTGTTATTGTTCCCTGAAAAGGTCACCAGGAACAGTAGAAATCTCAGTGATGGTGCGTTCACGGATCCGCCAACAATAAGAGCAAAATCAGACTATGACATATATGTTTGTACTCTGCTCTATAAAAACGGCTGACCTATGCTGAAGCACTAGAATATTACAGATACACACATGGCCTATACGTGGATAGAGGAATGCCAGTTGTTATTTGAATAAAATGTAAAATCAGTCAAATCGAGAACATGAAAAATCGAACACGATTGGATTGTTGAAAACTTATTACGTTACCATAAACAGCTAGGTGACTTACACCGGGCCAGAGTGATCAACACACAAATAAATGATAATGTAATAATATCATTTAGATTTACTAATTAGTTGAACATCTTATAGCCAGCTAGTGACTGTGTTCAAAGAAAGGAAACAAGGAACGGCTCACAGAATTTGCCTTTTTTCGGTGGCGACCCATATGTTGAGATCGACGACTATATGGCGGTGACTGAAGCAGCTGTCTGGCTCCAGTGATAGTTTCACGATGGTGATAAAGGTGATGATACCGTACATGCATCGATATCGTAACAAGAAAAACGTATGCCGGTATACACAGACGACATATTCACAGGATGCGAAACGGTAGAAGAGCATAGAAAATAGGTGGAAAGCGTAAGGTACGACAAAGGTTGTCGTGAACACGCGATATTTCGTGAACAAATCCAACGTCATGTAGCTCAATATCAATAATAATAATAAAATGTACATGAGCAATTAAATCGTGGACAAAGCCTGGTGACTTTCAGCGGGTCCTACGTTCTGTATTAATAATAGCGTTGTGATAACAATTAATATTATTATCATTATGGTCATACGTAATATGTCCACAAGTTTATTTCTAGGCCTGACTTTAATGATTATTTAGTTTATAGAGATTATCCATAATGCTAGCAGATATATAATTCCGATTGGCTCAGCGATTGCCTCAATTTGCTTAGATATGGCGGCCGATGACTGCAAGTTCGGTTATTCCAGCTTCGAGAGTTAGCGCGCCGAACTAGCTATAAAACTCTGGACTGCTACAATTGACACAATCAACTTCGCTTATGTAGCCCGACGTGATCGACAGATCATTATATATACACTATCTTCTATAAGCAACGGTACCTATAACGCCAGGCCTAATTATTGCCCGTCTACTTCGACTGACTTTATAGGTCTAATGTTCGTTTGTTCTGCAGGTGATATCGGATCCTCTTGTTAAAGTAGAAGGTGACTTCTAAATAAGAGCTTGAATGTATACGGGTAGAATCGGCGAAAAGTAAGGCCTATGTACTATATGTAAATCTGTGGCGTTTCTGACCCGAGATAGTAGCCGCTGAAATGTGGATGTTGAACCTCAGATAGAAAATGAAAGCTTTCTGCCTTAAACAGGCGTATAGCGATTGAAGCGTTCAAAGCTCTTTATATAGTGAAACATACAAGCATTTCACTTTAGGCCTACCTCTAGGGTTTATAAAAGTCAATCATATTTCATAAATCATTCTGGATTTGTTTAAGAGCAAGTATATGTATGGCAAGTATATATAACTGTATATATAATATCTATTGCGCCTGAAAGCAGTGTTTTCCGGTGCCTGATGCAGATTATCCTTATTTATGTCATGTTTTACTTGTGCATAAATAGTCTTCACGAAAATCTTTAGATTCACCGTCGATATGCGTAGTCATTCTTTGCACAGTATTTGAAGTACCGATGAGATTTTTTAAGGAAGTTTTACTTAGCTTTACGTACGATTGGCCATTACCAGGTCAAAGCCTATTTTACATGAGCCAAGTGTACGTCCCGCTCCGACGATTGAAACCGCTGTTCACTGACTTCCAACTCCTTTCCTATACTTCATGTTACACTGCTCCGGATCTTCATTGAATAGTATTTCGGATTGACTGAAGAGATATCAATGAGGTTATTTCAATCCAACTCCTCTTTGTCAAGCCAATTTTCAGAGGTGCATGTACATTGATCGCCTTGAAAATTATAAAACATTTTATAGTGTTAGTAACGCACTAAAAATGATTTGCATAGAATGGCCTTTCGTTCCTGGCCTGTTGGACCCGTTAATTATAAATATCTATTGTGCAGGAATCTTTATCAACGACGCATACTTTCTTAGTGATGTGTTCAATATTTACATCAATAAGCACACAAAAATAGACCAAATCAGGCTTACAGTCTTATCTGAGATTTTGAGCGAAACAAATGGTCGAGAGATAACGTTGGCTCCAGCTGGCCTCGCTAATCAGAACATCAAAATTTGTTCAATCCTGGGAAATCTGGTAACTGCGCAATAAATTTCACCGAAGTGTGGGGGTGCCTTACGTGTGGGAGTGGCATTAGAAAGTGCGCCTCGTAAAAATTAACGACAAAAAAGACAAACAAAGTCTAATGCTGTTTGATGCATCTCAATCTATCTATTGAAGCCTATTTTTTTTTTCTAGAATAGTAAGAAAGTGGACTACATATAAATACTTATATATATATATTTAGCAAATTAGAATATAGTCAATAAAGCAAAAGCTGGAAATCCGCTTTATCAATAAATGCTTAACTTTACGTAATACGTCAATGTGATTATTTGAGAAGGCAGAAATGACCAATTGTCCGTTACGTAAAATATCTTAAGCAGGCGACTATTTTACGCTCAGAAGCAACGAACCGCTGCCGTAGCTGCTTCTATTAAAAGACAGTTTAAAACCGTAAATATAGGGAACACCAGTTCAGAAATTGATCTGTGGCGCGTTCGGTAAACGAGCTGCCCAAGAAAAGATAAAATTATTGTTTTTCATGGATCATTGCTTAGGATCTTTGTAAATATAAGTAGAATTATTTCCTATTGATCAAGTTAATCTGCTTTATGTTCAGATTTAAAACACTAGGGGATGTGGTGCACAGTAATTTAATTAGGGGGTTGTTTTGCGTTTGATAAAATGAGCTTGCTAGGCGGGTAGAAAATCATGAAGAGCGGGACTTCACTTTGATTTCGATTGCCGGAACCATCAGCAGAATATCTAAACGTTAGAGATACTCTTGGTTAAACAAAGTTCTTTCAAATAGAGGAAGTACAATTTTAAGCGATGCAACAGCTATTCAAATTGATTTGAGATGCATCTTTATTTAGCAACTTTTAGACTACGTATTTCACGTCTGGTGTCGCCGTTAGGCATTCCACCAGACGGCCAGCTCCCAGTGCAAGGCGAAGTCTGTTTATCTCCAGGTTCGAACCTAGACCACAAAGTGTTACCTAGATTCGCAGGCAAATCTGTTACGCTACACGAGAATTTTGTGTAGGAGCCTAAGAAGTTGCATCTCCATAAACTTGATTCGTTTCGGCAGTAATCTACGATGCGGGATTACAAAATCGTGTTAAAAGGAAATTTGCAGTAAAGGGGTCCACTAGTGGAAGCTCACCTTAATATCATAGTCCGCACCCAGAACACCTTTTAGATTGAATTGGGACATATTTATAGCCGAAATTGCTCGACCCACACTCCCCTAAATTAATTCTTATTACTAAATTCTGCTAAAAGTGAACGTTGATTTGAAAAGATAAGTAAATACGAGACAACTCTAGTCACTTTATAAGACTATACAGTTTATATTAACATTCTGAAACCTGTACAACAATCGGTCGTACCCTGTCAGAATTTGTCGCTGCCATCTTTTATGGTGTCGCAGCAACCGTAGGGCTTTCACGACATGCTAACGAGTCCCCACGGAACGATCATGAGTAATTCAGTGACAGAAATGGCCAGCGTCAACATCTAGTACTATCGACTGCCGACAGCCGCACCAAAACTGTGGCTTCACATCGCTACCTCGAGTCTCGTCTGTCTCCATCCTGTTGGTCTTTTTCACTGCTAAAGGAGCGAGATAGAAAAGTAGCGAAAGTAGCAGTGTTGTTATGGCCGTTGGCGTCGACCGTGGAGAATATTTTACGTTCGGCGTCCCCGCAGGCAAGACAATGAATAGTCACTAGCTAGGGCGCTCTGGTAATCTTTTAATCACATGCTGTCTGAAAGAAAATCGCACGATTTGTTGTAGATATACGAGATAAAGTGCCTTAGAAGACGTTCGAATCAACAGAGCTGCAATGCTGACCACGCTCCAAAAATAACGCAACCATCCATTATGTCGCACAACATTTTAGATATATTCAGATAACTGTATACTCCCATGAAGATTTGCATTACTTTTTACAAATTATATGTGTTGAAAAAGTGTTACGTAGTATTATTTATTATCTAGTATCTGTACTCTACGTTGCGTAACTTTTCTTTAACTCGCTGCAATTGCATCGGCAGTGTAGCAGCAGTAACGGGAACAGTTATTTCTGACCTGGCCGTATTTTGTTCGCTTTCAGGTCTCCTCTGCTAGCGGTTCGCCATGTCATACCATCGTTGACTAACTGCCGCCGGCTGAGGGCGGCACGCTACTAGTGGTTGGATTATAGTATAGTCGATACAAAAGTGATGGTCTTGCCTGTGGTGGTCGACCGCTCTAGCCTGCTACTACGACTCTTGCCAATGTAATGTTTTTTCATTACGTTCCTGACTATACCTGTCGATCAGTTTTGTCAAACGGCATGAACAATGGCAACTGTCCATGTCTCGTTCTTCTATTTTCTGTTCTACTTTAAAAGATCATCCCCTCTTGACGGTCGTCGCTAAGTACACGCAATCGTTTAGCTGCTCAACTGGGATTTTCGATTGGGTGCATTGTCCATGATACGTCAATTCTAAATATCAGTAGTTCAAAAACAAAGTTAACACAAGCACAATAGATTACGCTGCCCCTAGCTAAGCAAGCTTTCGCGCGCGCGAGTAGAGTCCTGTTAGAAATAAGACTGTGCTGGCTATATTTTTAATAAATATCAATCTTTGCTCGTCCTACGATGTGCTTAGTAGGTATGGGTCAGTGTAACAGTAGATGATGCGTAGCCTGCGCTCGCCTGCCTATTCATTAGTTGACCTATATCGATGGGTTTTTTCATGGTTGGGCAAAAGACTGGGCACGTTGAACGCTTCCCCTACTATTCCAGCCGATTCCACCGATTACCTCGCTGCCGTAGTCGCTTTTGCTCTACATCTGAGCTTGTCGCGCTTGCTTCTATTTTGCCGTAGACCCGCCTTAACTTCTGTAGATGATCCTGCCACTGCTGTTGCCGCGATAGATGGTGTCGCCGCCATCGTCAGCAACACCGTTTCGTTGGAGTGGTAAGCAGCCGTTCGTTAGTGGTGATAGAACATTGGAAAAGCGCCAATCCAGACGCTAACATTGCATGTGGCAATAGCAGTAGAAACGACAGCGGCACCGCGGCAGCCGCCTTAGCAGTGACAGTTATATTCGCTCGTTCACGTTGGCGAGGAGGGAGACATCGCCACTGACACCAATGACGACAGCGTCCCTAGACGTGATTGCAGTCTACTGAAAGGACCTCTTCCTCTGTCTTGGCCTTTCTCCCGGTCCGCTGGTCTCCCGGCCCTTGTCTGTCTGTCTCTCATTATTATAGTTACAGGAGTCAAAGAGAATTGTGCTACTGCGCGAGTCGGTTAGATTGTGATGGTCGAAGCCGATCTGCAGCTGATCCGCTTCTGCCAGCGCCTGTCTGCTCCTGTTCTTATTGCAAAAGCAGCATTGCGGCGTACGCTACGCTTCGGATTCGCACGATCGGTGGCTCGTCCCATACGATTAAGCGCTCGCGCGCACGGCTGACGCTTCTGTGCTGCGGCAGTCGCAGGCGCCGCACCCATCATTCCCGCCCATACAGTGCCCTCGAACAGAGCTATACTGGAACCAG